AGAAGGACCGATGGCACATTGCAGCGCACGGTGTACAGAAAAGCGACCTGGGGTGGACAATATCTACATTTTTCCAACTTCGCCCCAGTTGCATACAAGCGCGGCCTTGTAAAAACTCTCTTCTACAGGGCCAGGCGGATATGCAGTCCGGAATTACTCAAGGCTGAAGAAGAGTTTTTATACCGGACTTTGCTAGCTAATGGGTATCCGGAGAAATTCATTCAGACCCATAGCAGACCCCCCAAGAAGAAGCTCCCCGTGCAAACTGCGGAGAAGAAGAATGTTTATCTGTTCTTACCCTTCAAGGGGGATCACTTAGCAAATGAAGTTGGTCACAAGCTCAGGTCCGCTCTAATACGCACCTACCCTACCGCCCAACTACGACTTATTCACACCACACGAAGGATTCCTCTCCACATCCGTTCGAGCAGCGCGCCAATCAGTTCGGCCTCTAACATCATCTACCAGTTCACTTGCAGTTGCGGTGACACTTACATAGGCAAGACTGGTCGCCGGCTAGCTCAAAGGGTGGCGGAACATTTCCCATTGTGGCTAAGGCAGTTGTTGTCTAACAAAGGCGGAGCGAAACAAAGAATGAATTTGAACCCTGCCTCGTCTATCTCCAAACACCTCTTGCTGACTCGTCACCAGGTGAACCCAATCGACTCATTCAAGGTGCTATTGCGCAACAGGAACCCGACACTGTTGGCAATTGGCGAGGCGCTACTGATAAGATTGAAGTGTCCCGTACTCTGTGCTCAGAAACAACTGAGATAATCAATTAGATTGCCTTGGTCCTGATTACGTCATTCCCATCATTTTTATCTGCTTATCTATGTTACTAAGTGTGGACCCTATATATTGTGTGTTTTTTCTGCCTGTATTGCGTTGCGACTGACGAGAGCAATCGAAATGTTAACATATCGCAACCTCTGTCTTCTTACTGCGTTAATGAAGTGGCTGAAGGGGACTCAGTGTTTCAAGATATTACTGCATTGATGCACATTCTCGATTGTAACAACATGCATTTCACTTTTAAGTTCCTTTTCAAAAAAACGCAAATAAACCATATTTCAATTACTTAAATCTTTTTTCTTCAACCGGGATCTTAAACTGTAATTTGTGCAAGACATTATCACAATGATAGAAGAAGCTGACAGTGTCATGGAAGCCAACATTTACATTACGCCTCTGGGTAATGAACAAAACTGATGAAGATGACATCATTGTCCTGATTCACGATGCTAGTTTTCTTGTTGATCTGTCAGCGAATCAGGTACGTAATGATGTGGAGGCTACCTTAGCAGTGCCTCATGAATCAGTAATTACAGTCAACATGGATGGCGAACCGTCTGAGGAGAAACCACGGTATCAAGAAAATTTACAAAAAGAAGATGCTGCTCCTATGATTGTTTCTTCAATAAAAACTCAAAAGGATGTCAGATCTAGACTATGGAGGAAAGAAGTCTTATGTCTGGGACCCTAAACTCAGAGACAATGTGTAGTAGGTTTGGAATCGAAATAGAAGTATGCTCCAACCAAGCTAGTCACGACTCGTAGTAAGAACACCCGAATTGGAATGCGAATTTCGCGGGTACATATTCTGAGTTAATTGGTAAAAAAGAAAACAATAATCGATTATTGAATACTGTATGCACAATCGTCACACAATAGCTTAAATGTGCATCTGATTTCTTAAGGGAGGATCTTAAGCTTTTTAAGTTATTTGATCGCCTCTTTGATAATTCTGTTAGTGACCACGTTATAAAGCAGACAGCTGAGCACGCCGGATCAAAAAGGGACCACTCTTTAAGTGCAGCCACGGCTGAAATGTGTGCCTTTCTAGCCATTCTGTTTGTTGTTGGCTATAATTCATAACCATTAAAGCACATGTATTGGGATCCTGAACAAGATGATTGCAATACAGCAATCAGTAATATACTGAATCGGAACAGATTTGACACGATCATGAAGGATCTTCATCTGGCAAGCAATAACAATCTCCAAGCCAACGACAAATTTGCAAAACTTCGAGCACTGTATGACATTCTCAATGACAAATATATGACATTTCTCCCCATGGAAGAAAATCTATGCGGGGATGAAAGCATGATTGCATAGTACGGCCGCCATGAATTGAAGAGATGCATCAGGCGAAAGCCCAATAGATTCAGGTATAAACAGTAGGTCATTCCAACACGCCTAGGCTATGCTGCCTATCTGGATCTCCACTAAGGAGCTCAAACCAAATATGACAAGACATTAGGCTTGGAATATGGCATTTTATGAGCCTAGTGGATAAGTTCCTGAAGGGGATGGCCCTACCAAATCTTCTTTGACAATTTCTTTACTGGCTTGCCGCTATTGAAAGCCTTAACCGACAAAGGCATCAGAGCAACGGGGACAGTTCAAGCAAACGGGACAGATAAGTGCCTCACTGAAAAGAAGGACTTGGGAAAACTAAACAAGGGTACTTATGACCACAGGTTTGACAGGCGAGATGACGTGTTTGTTTTGTCTTGAAATGACAATTCCGATGTGACTCTGACAACTGCCGGTGTCTATCCTCTGATAAAAGTAAGCACTTGGTCGGTGAAGGACAAAAAGCACGTACTTATTGAACAACCTGGTACCGTTACCAAGTGTAACACTTCCATGGAAGGAGTCGATCGACTGGACCAAAATGTCGGTCAATATGGAATCAGTTTTCGCAGTAAAAGTGATGGTGGCCGATATTCGTTTTGCTCTCCCATGTTGCAATGAATAATGCTTGGCTTTTGAAGAGAAAATCCCCTACAGATGTGCAAGAGCAGCGTGACATGCTTTCCTTCAAAGGAGCTGTTGTGAAAGTCTATTTACATGTGCCTACCTGTAGCAGAGAGACAAATGTCCAACAAAATCTTTTTGCACCCCACAAAAACGCTAAGAGGTTGAGGACAGAATCGGGAACTATTGCTCTGGACACCAGTTGGAATAAATGCCAAAACGAAGAAGATGCGGGCACTGTGGGAAAAATACTAAGCTAGTATGTCCAGTGTGTGATGTGGCATTACACGGAGACTGCCGTGCAGCATACCACGCATGAACTAACCAACCCATATTTGGTGTATTTGTACGGTACATAAACTTTATATTGAGTAATTGCCTGTTAATTAGATCTTTAGAGACGAGTAGTAGGGGAAGTTGAATGGTATAGGTAGAAATTCGTCACATCTAGACTCACTCAGACAGCCGTCACACGCCCGGAAAAGCACTGTACGCGAGTTACATCCTTTCGGGAATCATCAACAGTGCGCATTCCATCGGACCCCTGGTAGGGCTCGAACCCGCATCTCGACTGTTGCCAGTCCGTGGTTGAGACCACTGAGCTACGGGGGACGGCAACGACCATCGTGAATAAGTTACTAGATGTGATATAGCGCCGCTCACTATCCACTGACTTACACGTTACTGCCGTGCAGAGGACAGGGTAGCACCCTCACCAAGCGACGAGCTTACCAAACTTAAGCCGCCAATTAACTTATGGCATTATAAGCAGTTTGGTCTGCGTACTGATTACAGAAGAGTAGTAGGGGAAGTTGAATGTTATAGGTAGAAATTCGTCACATCTAGACTCACTCAGACAGCTGCTACACGCTCGGAAAAGCACTGTACGCACATTTCATCCTTTCGGGAATCATCTTTGAAAGAAATATTAAGCATTATCCCTGCAAACTCGCAAACCATTTTGTATTTGCTTAGAAAATGCGTTTTCATCTTCACTTTTAAAATCCGACGTCACGGTATCATTTATTGCTAACGTCCATAGAAATGGACAGTTGGAAAAATCTTCATATGGTCCGCAATACTCCAAATTTTCAAAATCCAAACCTCATGCAAGTGTATTGTCAGCATTTTTCTACAACAGATAGAAACACAAAAATTTAAGTCCTATGCAGAAAATGGGCGCGGGTTGTGGGCCATGAGTCAGTGAACCGACTCAAGCAGAATAGTGTGTTTTTGTTCCCAGATAGAAGAAGGTTGTAACCCAACTCGCTCTCAGCAGTATCTACTAGAAGGAGTTCAGGACATTGGTACACTACACAAGATTAAAAGCATCGGGTCAACCATCCGACAACATTAGTGGGAACCCTACAACGTTTGCATGTGTTTGAGAGTGCATCGTTCGTCGTTGCTACGCAGCAGCAATATGCTCAAAGAGAATAGTGCATTGTCCGGCTACGGCACTTCTCGAATAATGCAGTACGTCATTTACGTGTGTTCCAGCCACTTTAGCGGTACTTAGTGTAATCTTCCGCATTGTAACACAACTTTCGCGCTCCTGTCTCTCCTCACCGCACTTTGTCTCACTGGTAGATACGTATCCAGAAGCGGCTTTCGTTCACATTTTGGGGACGGATTCGGTAGCTGCGCTGGTTCCAACCAATTAGTTTGTACGCGGAGTGTATAACGCACTCAAATATGAATAACAAGGACTGAACGAGCACTCAGGATTTGGTACCCACAACGCTGGATTACTTTGCTTGCATGTGTGTGATGTCTCCACCGCAATGGAACGTAAATCGGTGGGCACCTGACAGCAAAATAGTTTTAAATTAAGGGAATGCAATTAATATTGAACAAATCGTCTTCCTAAATCCTGTGCATGTCTACCACTTGATTTAGTCAAAAGTTCCAGAAGCGTATGGACTCAACTGCGAGTTATTAAACACGCAGTCAGTCATACAGAGTTTTACAACGGTGTCCGTCGCCCATCGAGTGTTCCAATCTCATTTCCGGCTAACTCTACTTGGAGTATAAACAAGGACGAAAAGGCCTTGGATTAAAGCGCTTGGAGCAGGTAATACCGAAATTCACCACTCTTTAATTTTGCTCACTTTACGAGCCTGGCATAGCTCGTGTGGTGCCACCGGCCCATGGTCTAAGCTATGGGCCGCATCTTCGTCTGGTTAACCCAGTAAGACCAGGGTGGCTAAGTGCGAGAGTTCGTTAGTACCACCATGCGCAATACCATACGTGTATCAGAAAGCTTAACATTTCCGTTTCACAAAAATCGAAACCAGCCGGTTTCAACTCCCGCTATTATCTTTCAGCAGACCAACCCAATGGACTGGACTCGACCTGATCTCCCAAGCAGATGCAACTATACAGTGAGGACACCGCTGGATCAAAGTCCTCACGTACACAAGGATTTGTAAGTTTGCGGACCACAGCGAGGAACTAATGATTGTTTGCTAACTATAGCGCACCCCCACCTCGTATAGCAGCTAACGCGACTGAGTTGATAGGTAACACAAAACTAGTACGACTTAATCGGATCCCACAAAGTGAAGGAGTTGAATGTGAAATTGGTAGTTTGTTACTTGTATCGCCTAAAATTAACCGTTTTAGTGGCAAAGTGTGAATTCCAGAATATCGCTGGAAGCGTAAAGGACCGCATAGCAAAGCGTATGATTGAGGAGGCGGAAAACCAAGGCTTGCTCAAACCGGGCGATACGCTGATTGAGTCAACCTCCGGAAACACAGGTCAGTAAACTAACCACAGTTTCTCAGTCTTACGTTTTGCCCAACCTAGGTATTGGTTTGGCCTTGGTCGCGGCTGCGAAAGGTTACCAGTGCATTATTGTTATGCCAGAAAAAATGAGCCAGGAAAAGGTGAGTTGAATCGTGCTTCAAAACTACAGTATAAGAGAGCTACCATAGTTTTGTATTTTCGATCCACTAGCTATTCAATTTCCAATCTGTCTGTTTTTCTACGTTTGATATCATCAGTACACTAAGACAGTGATTTGTAAAACAAGTCTCTTTCACTAGCCGGGAGACAGCGATCTGTGAAATGTCAGGTTTCAAAACATACGTCGCCAGTGGAGTTTGACTCTCTTGACCCGTCTGCTAGAAGGCCTACCCTAGGTAACAGCACAGCATAGGACCTTTGGTGTTAAAAGCAAATAGGTTAGATCACGAGTAACTGACGTGTGCACAGCCATAATCCAATTGGTCTCATAAAGTGTGTCAAGTGAGCTTATAAGACCTGCAGCAAACCCGCGACGTTATTCACTTTATAAGTTATTGGCTGTCGAGTTATATATATAGTTTCGTGAATCTCAAGCACAAAATACAAGGGTTTCCATAAGCACTGAGGTAAATTTTCGATGCCGACCAAATGCTTAATAGGGGAATCGGATTTGAGGACATTAGGCCTCGCTGGATGGATTGGATACCCATACGATATAAATAAAGTAACGGCACTAAAGATGGCTTAAAGGGGTAAAGGCTTAGTTGATTTTAAGCTAAATAGGCACAAGGTTATTGGAGATATTGAAGTGCTGGTAAACTCTTTCAGACGACTACCTTGCAGAGAAGCAGATTCCCATAATACCGTTCTGCGAATGGTCATCGTACTTCATCTGTACACTTGGTTATATGTGAAATTAGTACCACTACGAAACTCTCCGTAGTTATAGGATAGTTAACTTACAATTCAATACCCGTTTGCGTACTGTCGTGAATAACTCAAATTGTTCTCAGTTTTATGCGGTGGTATGAAGTATTCTAATCACTCAGTTGAACTGTGCATCACACTGTCGAGGAATGCACCGTTTATTTAGATACGTTTGTTAGATTCATCTCAGTCTAAACCAGACTATTTGGATATCACGAAACAGTGCACGTTTTCTGCTCTAGTTGCCCACACAAGCCGCTCCCAGATTTTACTCTTAATAATTACCATAAGGGGAGTTATATATGTGCCACTGTGTTATGCTATCAGGCTGAAATATCATGTAAGCCAATTGAACATTATAATAATCCTGTGTTAGCCGCAATTTTCGATTGCACATTGTACGTGAAAGGTTTCTAATTGTCAACCCTTGCTAAGACTGACCATCCTCCATTTTATGGGTTTATGTGCAAATAAAACTGGGTGAATAAAGGCATTCATGTTACCAGTCTGACTCCTAACAACCAACGCTTGCATATGGATTTGTCTGGATTATCTAGGTTGATGGGTGAAACATCAGCTAATTCTAGGAATTATATATATATATATATATATATATATATATATATATATATATATATATCAAAGTGCGGGAGAATGAACTCACACATGCAGAGAAGAAGCTGCAAATGCGGAAGCGGCAAGCACCAATGGATTGTACTCCATCGACATCGAGCGCATGGTGCTGTAGTACATGCGGTCACCAGTGCCTGAGTCAGGCAGGCTTAGTGAGCCATGAGCCAGGCCACTCAAGACCACTACCGAAGCGACGACAGGTCCTACAGAGAACGTAGGCAGAACCGGCGCAGCGTTTGTAGGTACGCTTCATTCGATTTTCTAACCACGTGCTTGCATGCTAAGTCTCTTTATTTCAGGTGGTGGAAGTCAGCGCTCTAATCTTTGTTGCCACGTGATAGGCTGACCACTGCGCGAATTCTTCCAGCCTGGTCCTGTGCAAGCGAAGAGAGCGCGTCGGGGCGGCGGTTCGCATAGCCTGTATTAAAGGTGGCCCAGCCATTTCAGTTAGTGCAGCGGTACCAGTCTGTCAAGTAAAGGTCCTGTGTTACCCAAGACTCGACGTCTTATATCATCGTTGCGCATGTGGTTCATCCATCACGCTCGAGCTATTCTCCGCAGACATCCAGTGTCAAAGGACGAAATCCAACGCAAGACGTTCACAGGAATCGGCCAGGACTCACTCCCATACAGCAGCACCACGCGAACACAGGCATTGTAGACCCTGCTCTATAGCAATAGTGAAACCTCACGGCGTCGCCACAGATGCCTCAAGTTGACGAATGCCCAGCGGGCTTTAGCAATGCGGAGGGAAATCTCTTTTCCAATGTTACCATCAGCAAAGACAGCTTCGCAGATAAACAAAGTTGTCCACTTGTTCAAGCTAAGTACCTTGAAGAGTGAACACTGGGGCAGTTGGATGCCAATCAAGGACCAGGACTTTGCATTTCGTAGGGACAAATGCCATTCCATATTTTGACGATTCAATCGCCAAGCGGTTTGAAACGGCTTGTGTGCTCTATGCGTCATCACCAAGTAAGGCAATATCATCAGCATACTCTAAATCGGTCACATGGTTACCAGGCAGAAGCTCTACACCAGAACCCTGAAATCCCTCGAGAGTGTATAAGAGGACATCATCGATCGCAATATTGAAGAGAAACGGAGACATGGGGCAACCCTGTCGTACACCGCTAGTGACGGCAAAAGGTGAAGAGAGCTTACCAGGAGTCCTCACTTTACCTGAGACATTGCAATATAATGCTCGAAGGATGATGATATACTTTTCGGGTACTCCATTCCTATGTAAGCAACGCCATAAAGCTGGCCGATCGACGGGGTCGAAAGCCCCTCGGATGTCCGGAAAAACAACCATAGTGGGTTGACGGTAAAGATGCTGCGTTTCAAGGAGTTGGCGGAGCATAAATAAGTGGTCTATACACCGTCGACCGAGGTGGAAACCACCCTGTTTTTCAAAGGAACGCAATTAGAAACTGGAACAACTCTGGAGGAAGTCCGTCCGGGCCAGCAGACTTGAATCGCTTTGTTTCGGAGCTCAAGACATGCCTCAGCTTCAGTAGGTGGTTCTAATGAGACATTCCAAGGCGCGCAACTAGGTATACTTGTTAGGCTCGTCGGCGGAAAAGCCCGGCTGAATTGATTGCGGAAGTGAGCAGCCCAGCGGTCCATGAGTCTGTGTAAGTTGCTTATGGCGTTCCGTCAACCTCGCAAACGACCTCACTGACACCAGTTTTTGTGACCAGTGGCCCGAATGACCTGGATGAGCTTGCGAAAGTGTCCACAAAGGACTACAGTTTCTGACTCTGAGGCGCGCTGGGAAAACCAAGTTTCGCGGTCAGCACGCAGGCTTTGCTTAAGTCATTGGCTGAGAATGCGACGCAACGCACTGCTATTTGAAGCGGACGGGATAGCTCTACGCCGATCAAACAATTCCAGTGAGTATGCGGAAATCCAGCCCCTCAGAGAGCCCCTTGTGATTCCGCAGATTGTGTGACTGGAAGTTAGCATCGCTTTACGCAGGAAACTTCAATGCTTTTCGATGTCTCGAGGTGGAACACTAATGAATGCATGTGATAAGGAAGATTGATAAGTTGATCGAGTAGGGTGGTCAGCTAAATTGTTGATGTCGAGCGTATGCTTTCGTTTTGAGGAGTTGCCGAAGCACATGCAGATGTCCGCGCAGACCAAAGCATGATCTGAATCGAGGTACGTAGATCAAATCGATCTACAACCCCGGACGTTGCCTCGTCATCTAAAGCTGATTGCAATGTTATCTATTTGTGACCATGCTTGCGTTGGTGAAGGAGGACGCCAGGTGGCTGCGCGTCTTCTGGTATATCTAAAGCTCGTACTAGAGAGAAAGAGATGGTAGTCTTTGCATAACGTAAAAAGTCTATCACCTTCGTCAGAACGGCTTTCATCAAGTGCATGACTGACACCAAGATGAGGTTGGCACGGAAGCAGGCGACCGACTCATGCATTGAGATCTCCGACAAGGACGATGACATCAGACTTTTCGGCCTTATTCAAAAGGTTGTGGAGTCCACGATAAAAGTCATCCTTAACAGAAGCTCAGCTGCAGTCGGTTGGAGCGTAGGCAGAAACGACAGACAAATAGCACCTCTCTTCACGATGTCTGTTGATTCTACATGAGCTTTGAAGCCGAACCGCACACAGCCGGCTATCGATTGGAAACCAGTCGAGTAATCCAGCCTCTGCTTTGTCGCTCAATGCGATACTGACACCAGCTAAGCCGGCTGCTGCTGCCTCCATGTCACTAGACAGACGTAGGTAATAAACGGCAACAAGAGTAACTGGGGACGACTACTTAACCACGGTGCTGGGATCCTGTAGTCGAGTCTCTGAAAGGCATCAAACATCGATGGCAAGGTACTCTAGAGTGCGCGCCAGGACAGCCTGTTGTCCAATCTGTAGGAGGGTCCGAACATTGAAAGCTGTCAGACGGAATGAATTACAGGGTGGAAGGATAGATGACGGCAGGATGATTTGGATACCAGAGAGACGGACATTGGAAGTAGATTCAACAGGTTTTAGATTATCAGCAAGAGAAAAGTTGGCGTGTGATGAAGAAGCACAAGTAGCAGCGAAAATAACAGCAGAAGTAAGCGACGTAGTATTAATTGCAGCGTCCATGGTTTTCACAGAGGGCACGATACTACCCGGTTGACCAAGCCGAAGTAGGGAGTTGTCGTATGGGACTCCAACCCGACCCTTTGGCTCAATAGCCCACCCGCAAGGCAGGGAGCGAAGTCACGGATTCACACCTATAGGGAGCCGATGACTGATTGCTCAGTTCATACGCCTTTCGTTTGGTCAGTAGCTAAACAGGAGCCCAGTCTTCCTCACGATTTCGACAGCAAGGTGCTGGGATACAATGCTTCACCAAAGTGAAACAAGGAGCAGTGACTATATTTAGTTGCGAGTCACATCCGCCACGTCGCAGTGTTGTTAAACGGACCCATGTGACTTTTCATAGGGAGAACGCTTGCCAAGCGAAAACCCACCACGTCCTGGAACATTGCCGCTGAACCAATCGGTGGACCGAGATAATCCCGGACCACCCAGGTGGTACCACGAGGAGGTTGTTCGGCAGGCGAAC